AGTGAGTGTAAATAACTTTTAAAACCAGGCATCACATTTCTCTATAATGGTGGATAACCTCAATCATTTTCCCCTCCTTCACAAGAAGCTCAAGAGATATCATAAGAATTACACCTCAGCCCTTCAGATGCTACTGACCCTGTTATAGAGCTTAATCAGAGATGAGATTTGTTTAAATGAACTTGTTGCAGGCAGCCACTGGGCATTACTCTGGAAACAGCTTTTCTAAGTGTATTCCATGCTTCCCAGCAGTGTTACTAAAATTTTGACGTGTTTTCCTACAGATTTTAGTGCAGGTGATTATGGGATACTGTGAAATAGCAAATAATTACAATTTCTTTTTGAGACCAGGTGGAAGTGTTCTTCACGTTGTGCTGCTTTCAGAAGGAGCCTTTTGCTGGTTGGAAAAATTGGTTGGTGCTTGCATTACATAAGTTTTGCACTTTTCTCTGTGGCACCTTATCCAAGTTACTGTGGCAACTGTGGCCTGAGAGTTGTCTGCCTTATGGATGGGCAAATAATGTGAGCATTCAAGAGGCGTGCTGGGGTCAGAGGTTGGCTGATGTTTGTTTAATTGAGTCCTGTGGCAGAAGCTGGAAAATCCTCAGCAGGGAGCGTTGTCATTCAGAACACATAAGAATCATGAAATAGGTCAAATAATTTGAGTCTGACCCTCCTGCATCTGGTGGAGCTTTCGGGCTTGGTGTACAATGATTTTCAACTGCTTTTGCAATTTCCTGACCCTAAACATACTAAATCTATTCTTGTGAAATAGTGAAACACAAAGTCCAGGCCCTATCATGTAAAATAGCTACTACTATTTCTGGTTTTGAATTATAGTAAGATAGATTCTGCAGTGCTTTAGCATTTCCCTTCACATCCAGTTTATGGGGACAAAAAAAAGAAAAAGAAGGTAAAATATGATGGGGAAATTTTCTCTAGTTTAAAACAATTCTATTCCTGAATGAGATGGCTGGCACAAGTCACTGATGGGCATGAATGCAGAATGATGTGCTGAGTTTGCAGTGCAAGCTGAAAAGGAAACAGATATTCCTGGACAGAGAGATGGGAATTTCCCAATGTGCACATAGTGCCAGTGTGTGCCAGGAACAGCAGAAGATCTTTAATGCACAGAAGGGATTTAATGACTTAATGAACCTGTTGTACTGAATCAGTCAAAACTCAGCAAGTAAAGGTTTTAGAAAAACATGCTGACTTCTGGCAAGAACTGCTTATTTACTGGACTTCACTTATTTTATGGGCCACGATAGATCATTACTGTCACATTATATATGAGGATAATTACCAGAATTTCAGTGAAGTAGCTGCCTCTTTGTTTTCTGGGAAAGCTTCATGTATATACAGAAAAAAAAAAGAGCTCATTTATACACATGATTTCCCTCAGAGTACCCAAAAGCCTGAGGATGTTTTACCCAAGTGTTCTCCCTCTTGAAATTTAATTTCACTAATAAATGAGTATACCGTGGGCTATACCATCCAGGGAAGATTAAAAATGATAATTGTGTGAAAAAAAACAGAAGTATTTTAATGTATCATAAAGGTCAGACCCAACTAATCTCCAACAACATCTTAGCATAAGTAAGGCTGCACATAAAAATGGGTTTGAAATTCTGCACATCCTCCCTCTGCATAAGGCAGAATAGATTCCTCATTTCCAGTCGAGCTGGGACAATTTGTAGCATCTGGCAGCTCAGCTATGCACATTTTAAGTGTATAGAATCAGAAGGAATATTATTTTAAAAAGCATGCAAAGCATTGTTTTCAGAGAAAAGGAAGCAAAAGTTATGTATTACAAAAAAGTCGGACATGCCTCCGTTTCGGTCTTAGAAACCTGGCCTATATTCCTGAAGTGGTTTGGAACTGCAGGCCAACCTCCAAGAGGAACACCCTGCTCCCCGTGGGGAAGGATTTATGATTTTATTCAGGATGCATGAAACTTGATGATATTGGCTGGAGTTCAGGAAACAGAAGAGGGGAGCAGAGTCTCCATTCATTTACACCCCTGCCTGTTGTTAGTGAAGTTTTAATGACAATGAACAAAAGCAGAACGTGGGCTGCAGAATAGGAACCGTGTGCTTTGTAAAAATGGTCAAAAATCAAATTGCTGACCCTTCTGTGAGCAGGAGCTGCTGGTGCTGGCAGAGCTCTGAATAACAAGGCTGCAGCTGAAAACAACAGCAGATTCTGAGAGCCCCTGTTAGGGACCTTCCTTCCAGACCCTGAGTTCTTGTTCTCTCTCTCCTACTGAAATGATGTGTTACAATACAGTGTGAACTCAACCTTTGGAAACAGATGAAGCCAGCAGTGTTTCCAAAATCCATGGATGTGCAGACAAGTAGCTGTATTCCCGGAATATGCAGGAACTTTTCACCCCCCCGAGCTGCACAAATGGACATCTGTGCATTTTGAGGCAAGCTGCTTGACATGGAATTTTTAAAACCTAAGTAAAGTTCACAGTGTGCAGTCATTTGAAGGAAATGCTTCCCACTGTTCCTTCTCGCTGATAGTTTAGGGTTATCTAGCACATGGCAACTTTCCTTTAATGAGAGCAGTGTGTGTGTGGGGGGAGAATCCGTATCCAAAAGAAGCAGTGCTGAGCCAGATCCCTGGCTTGCATCCATTGCCTTGCACGAGGGAATTCCTCAGTATCCCTGAGCTTCAGGAGCCTGGCCCCTCTTGCTGTGCCTTCCATGGGGGAAGCACGCTTGGGATGCAGCTGAGGCTGGCCAGGAGGGAGGCTTAAACCGTCTGTGAACTCTGGCAAGTCCCAGCTGCTCCAGCAGCCCTTGGGAGGATGTTGCAGCTGAAGACAATTTTGAACGGTCTGAAGCAGCTCTGAGCTGCTGAATGGGGTCCCTGCAGGCCCCTGCCTGGGATGGGAAGTCCAGAGATTCTTGTGGATCCTTGTCTTGCTGTGGGAGGTGGTGACCAAGTATCTGCACTGAAATACACCGTCAGTACCTTCAAAAGAGAGACACGGGCCTTGCTGGGTGGGATCAAGGCCCCTGCCTGTCATCTAAACATATCTGCATTTTGTAAGCCAGGCAATAACCTAATGAAACACTGGAAGCAGCAGTTATTGCCTGGGAGGCTGAAAGTGAGACGGGAACTCATGAACTGGGTTCCACCTGGGATCTGCGAGAGCCTTGAGGTCATGGACAAAGATGTCTTGACTTGAAACCCTAAACTTTCTTCGGGATGTGCTGTGCACCAGAATAGTCAAGTATGGAGTGATTTATTGACATTTGATGCAGATAGAAGAGCTGCTCTAAAGGGAGACAAATTTGCTATTGAAATGGGTTTCTTTATGATGGAAATTAAAATAAAATGCTTGGCTTGTTTCATATCATGATGGAGATTGAAATCTTCTCCATGGCCTCGGAGAGAGAGAGGGCTCATACCCACCACGGATATATAATGTTAGCTATCATTAAATTTTTCACTTAGTATCCAACACATGCACATTATAGGTCTGTGATCGAGACAAAGCTTCCATAGCCTCAAATTGATCAAAAAGCAGCAGCAATGCAGCAGCATGCTCCTGGGAAACCAGAACATCACAACTACAAGTGTTAGCTACTGCAAATTAAAAATCTGAGACTCTCACCGTACTAAGCTGCTCATGTCTTTCTGCCTTCTCATGTACTAATGCTCCTAAATAAATGAAATATCAAAATGTAATTACAGGGTAGATTCTTGACTTTCCTTCACCTGGAATATACATCCAGCTGCTTTGTTAATATTGCCATTCAGGTACAATTTAAAATCAGCAGAGAAAGTCATTCCAGAACCTGCACCAGAAGGTCACAAACTCCCTTTGAAAGCACTGATACTTCCTTTTGTTCACTCTTATGTATCTGATTACAAATTACTAAATCCTACTGCTATTTGAGAACTTTTAGATTCTAATCAGTACTTTGATGAATGTACAGCACAATAATGCAGATGAGTGATGTCACCCTTTAAGCACACAGCAGCGTGCACGGACAAAAAGTGGAGAAACCATTCAAAAGCTCTGGGACCTTTGTGATCTGGGAGCTTCCTTTGTAATCCATCCCGACTGTAAATTGTTGCTTAACAACTTGACATTGTTAAAGTGTCTAATTAAACCTTGAAAAACCCCCATGCAAATACAAAATGTTCATCTTAGATTGTGAAGGGTTACCTTGATGTTGGTAAAATAGAATGAAAGTCTGGGATAAGGAAATGTTACAGAAATCGACTTGAATAAATAAGAAGGAAACATGAGTAAGTTCAACAATATCAGCACTAAAGATCTTTTCTTTAGGAGCTAGGTAACTTCCTAATGCTTTGTGCTACAGCACAAGAGACTGTTTATTAAATGAAATAGAGGTAAACATGGCAGCCTTTTTTCATGTAATAAAAGAAAAACAATGTAGCCAAGTGTTAAAAGATGAGCAAAAATTTCTCTTTTTGTAAAATGTAATGAAATCAAGTGGTTGAAATGAAAATCATAAAAATAAACATAATCTGTGTAGTTTTTTCTACTGCAGATGACATGGTCCTGATCTCTTCTTTTAGTCTGTTTAACACACTTATATTCAGTATTTTCGTTGAGTACGAAAATTCCACAGGACTATTCTTGGTTAAACCATTGCTGAAGGATGTGAGGGCAGTGCTATGAATTTAGGAAAGGGAAGAAATGCAGAAGTCTGCTTCTGATAACTCTTCACCACCAGCTGGCAAAGTATGATATCTGTCCTTTCTAATACATTCTTTATAATTCTTTGTCTGTGTGGTTGTGCATTATGATGTCAATATTCTTTTAATGTGGATTATAAAGGAGGGACCTTGCCTTATTTTACACCACGCACCATTAAACTAGGGTAATTGGGGAATTTCCTGTTAAAAGAACTTTCCTGCCACCTCACACTGTGTAGTTGTTTGTTATGTGGTGCACCTCTTTCAGGTGCTGCATCCACCTTTTAATAATATTCTTCCTTTTCTCTGCCAGGGACTTCTGACACTCTCAGCCCCTTTTAGCCTGGCAAGCCTGAACTATAAGAAGAGGACTTTTTCCTACATTTTAGGTAATCAGTGGTGTTTCTTGGTTGTAAATGGGGTTAAGTGATGTGGTGATTGAAGAACTCTAAAAATACTAAACCACTTGCCACCAGAAGTGAACAGATATTTGATGCTATGGGATCTGATGATAGTTATTTATTCAGTGATTATTTTCAGTTCAAGAATTATAAAATATAAAGGTATATAAAAGATTCCCTGCTCCACTCTTGGAAATTAAGCCTATATCTCTTTATTTTCCTATCCCCTTCTTTATGAGTGTATATATACATTTGTACAACTGCAATTGCCTGTGCTGTTTTATCTGGGAAGCCCATTGTGCAAACCTAAAGCTTTTCCCAGCTGAAAGTAGGTTTTTCTGGCAGTGTCACTTTGATTATAGCAGGGTCCTGTCTTTTCAACACTTAAGCATGTTGTGTCACCACATGATTAACATTTAAAGCTGCTTTAGTGGTGAAAGTCAGTCCCACTTACATACTTTTCCCCCTTGTTGATCTTAATATGGGAAGTCACTATTCTCTAACTGGACAAATTTGTTTCAAAATGAGCTTGAAATGCACTCTGGTCATAGCAACTGTATCAGTTCTTATCGTTCCCCCTCCTTCCTCTTCTTCCATCATCTCTAATACTTATGATGCACTGTAAAAGATCCTGGGAATAAGATAAGCTGGAAGAAGTCTCCAGCTTTTTCAAAAGGAATCAGGGAGTCTGAAACATTGGAAGGGGTCACCTTCAATCTGTATAAGTATGAAAAAGAGAAAGGCAGGCATGCCAGCCCAGATGGTCTTTCTTTATGCTTTTTACTATTTTTTTAATAAAAAGGGGCATGACTGTTGCTTGCATGGAAGGGTTTTTATGATCAAGAGCAGAAGAAAAGGATTTAGAATTGTTAATATACTGCTTGAGTGCTCAGCCATTTATATTTACAGTAATTGCTTCTGGAAAAAAAAAGTCCTTCTCCTGCCAAGTGTAGGAAAAATAAAGGCTGATTGAATTAAGTCTGGGAACCAGTTTGATTAGAAACTGAAACAAATCTCCTAGGACTCTAGAAACCCAGTTCATTTGTGGCATTCCTTCCATACTCTAATGGGCTCTGATGCTTGATACCGAATGATAAGAAATGCTTGTTTCTGAAAACAGCTGTTGTGGGTTTGGCAGTTTGGAACTGCTTTTGAGAGCTGGATGTAAACCATAAATATGTGGAAATGCAGGCAAGTCAGATTGTTCCTCCAGATAGGACTGGAACCCATGGTCATTGCTTCAAAAATATTCACAGAAAAGTAGTAGAATTACACCTTTCACTTTTGGAAAGAAAAGCAAGACCACCATTATTCCAGTGAGAGACAGTACAGGGTCTGTAATGTGTAATGTGTGCTCTGTGACTTACTGCAGGCACTGGGTGGTACCACAGATCAGCATTTTGCTGTTTTCTGAACTCTGCCCCATGCCATTATGCTGGGATGGTGCTGGTATTGCTTCAGAATCTGATTAAAAGAAAAACATTTCTGTTCTGCAGTCTATTAACATTACTCAGGCCTCCAAGTGCTTGAAAAACTATGACCCTGCTTTCTAACTTTTCCATCACTCATTTAAACTTGCAAGGGATGCTTGGCTCTTAGTGCCTTGCAGAGTTTGGAGCCCTTCACCTTTAGCATTGTTTCAAGTGCAAACTTGAAAATTGGTTTCTTACAGCTTTTTGTGGGGCACAAGTTGGGAGCTGAGAGCAACAAAATCCTTTGGTCATGAGATGAGCTTCACTTCACTCCTGTTGTTTCCAGTCACCACAGTTCAATTAGGTGTGAACTCCTTGGGACATCCCTAGCATAACCCAGAGTCCAAAGATTTCTGTGTGTTACAATCCCTGAACAAACTCTGTGGTTTTGCACATTTTTCAACAGAGAAATTAATTTTTTTCTTTATTCCTAATTTGAAAAAGGATATTTTATAAAAGAAGTTCTGTAGTGACAAATGCATTTCACAGGTAGCTCTGTTTTGCAGGTAGCTCTTCAAAAATGATGAAATTAACAATAATTATCATTTTATATAATGTATAATTATCTATTATTTACAGAATAAAAAGTGAATAGTGGAAGTAAAGATCATGTCATAACCTGCAGCACGAAGTGCTAGAGAACAGCACTTTTTTTTTTTTTGTGGCTGCATTTTTCATCATTCAGAAATTGTGGGAAAGTGTTTCTAAAATACAGCATGGGCAGACATTGAATTTCAAATTGAATTTCATGGAGCAGACAACACAACAATGAATTAACAATGACTTAATTTTAAAAATATTTAAACACCTGTTTTTTGGTATCAACTGATCATAGTAGAGTCGTGTTAAATCAAATTGTTATTGGATTATTTTTATGCTTTTTGGCCTATTTTATGCCAGGATTAAAAAATATTAATTTAGCCCATACTTTGGAAAAAGGTTCTCACTCACTTTGATGTGCAATGGAATGAGATTTGATAATTTTGCAACACTTGTAAAATGCAATTTTTTTCAGAGAAAAGTGTGTAAAGAATTGTGCACATAAGGCGTGCAGTGGCAGTTTGCATACACAAATTTTGTGCAAATAGAAAAAAAACCCACCCCATGTGGTGTAAGCTGGAAGTGTAATGCACAGACACTGTATGTGTAGTTGTGAAAAAAATCTTTATCTAACCTGGCTTCCTTAGAACAAATTCATCCTGTTACACCAGGATGGTACATTGAAGTCTGTTCTACCTTCTGCCTTAGCAACACAAAACTTTTACCAAAAAAAAAAAAAAAAAGAGGGAATTGGAAGCTTTTGAATTATAAATATTTCCAAATCATTGAACGTAAGCATATATAATTTATTAACTGTATTCAGGAAGTAGATGGAATAAAAACTTGATGAATTAACACGTTCAAATGAAGATTATGTGACATTTACCAAAGATTTTTGTGATACAAATCTGGGGACCAGATGGGAGGGATGGAGGAGCATGTAGCTGATATTTCAATACGTTCTTGCACATTTTCTGTGGTTTCTGTTTGGTTTGGTTGTGTGTTTGGTGAGATCTGCTGCATGGCTCCACAGTCACTTGGACTCTATCCCCAGAGCATTCTTGGTTGCACTTGATGATTTTATGGCTGTTGGTTAAGACCTGTAGTATACCCCACCTCCCTAAAGGAGCCCAAATAATTTTTAGAGTGTTCTGTGGATGTGAGTTCAGGCTCAGGCTCAGGAAAAAGAAATTATTAATTTCACCCAGGAGACTGAGGAAGAAGGAAGGACAATGGACCAATGGAAAGATGGGCAAGAGAAAGTGAGAGAAAGCATTAGGTCTAGAGGGGAGTATGAATGGAGAAAAAAAATTGCAGTCAGGCATTGTTTTCCTTTGCTTTAAATATCCTATAAGCAGAGCAGTCAACAGGCAGACAATTATAGCAGCAGGCACTTTAGATTACATTAGGGTGCAGAATAAGCATTGCTCTCCATGGTTTATGATATCCTCTGAACCCTCTGGAAGGATAAATGATATAACTTGATGTGACTCATACAGGAAAGCAGATAATTAGTGGTGTGCCATAATGCAAGTGAGAAAAAGACAAAATAGTCAAAGATTGCTTACACTGTGTTACTTTTATCTTCTGATATTGTTTATCACATTAGTATTATCATTATTATTTGCTAATGTTATCATATCACCTAATGACAAAAATTCCAGGCTTGGAGCCAGGATCCTAGACAAAACATCCTAATGCTTATGGCAGTTTCTTCCTTTGCTGGTTATTAAATTGTTTCTGTGAATGAAAATAACGATAACAACGAGGAGAAATGTGCACCATGCCGGGACCAATTTCCTGCCACACCAGGAGTGGTGCACACAACAGCCTCCTGCAGCTGGAATGATGCTCTGGGATGGAGGGAGCCTGAATGAGGACCTGAGGAGTGTGGCTGGAGTGATCTCTGGAATTGTGCTGTTGGCACTGAGATCATAGATGCCTGATTCAGTCCTCCAGGCTGCAACATCTTCCTGCATATTGAAAAATGAAAATGCAGAAAAATAGGTCTGGCAGGGCTGGGAGGTGTTCAGGCTGAGGTTTCAGTGTGGATTTTCTGTGGGGATATCAGTTCCATGGCAAAGTTAAAACCTTCCCATCCCTATCTGCATTTTGCTGCCTTTTCTCTTCCTGTGTTCTTACTTATTAAGTTATGCTAAAGGATACAGAGCAGACACTTGATGAAAATGGAGTGCCCTCGTTTTTCAAAAAAATGAATAATAATTTTAAAAACCCCCTATCATCTGCAGTTTTATGGAGAGCCTTGATTTATGTGTCGTATTTTTCTAAACCCCTTTTCTTAATCCTTTTGTAGGCAGACTTGACATTTCCCAGAATTAGCTAATGTTATACCAGTAAAAACGTCCCTTGAAAAAGAGAAATATAAGGAACTTTTCTACTGAGGGTTGCATTTGATCATGTTTTTTCCATTAGATCATGCTTCTGTGGAGTTCCTAGCCTCTCATTGGAAGATCCTGCTGGATCTTGAACTACACTGAGTGTCCCTTACATTCATTAGTAGCTTATATTGGAAGCAAAGGGCTTCTGAGCTTTTCAGCTGTAATTCAACAACACTATTCTTAGGCAGGAAGGTGAAAATTTATTTACTGAAAGTAAAATATTTGTTCTGGCCAGAATGCCATTTTTGCCACTACTACTGATGCCTTTTAGATGAAACTTTGGTAGTAGCCTAGTAAGCCTGTGATTACAAACACAAGTGAATTTAATAAAAGTTCAGTCCGGTCTCATTCCTTTTGGTGTGAATCCAAAATATTTTACTGAAATCTGTTGTTGAAATCTGACTAAACTTTGTTTCTGGAAGCTGCCAGTGTACACTGCATTTGGTATTATTTGCCCAGGTATATTTAGATTTTCTCATCATCACAGAAAGCAAGGAAAAGGAACCAATGTACTTTATAAATAACTAGGTGACATAAACTCATGTTACTGATGTGACAATTATCTGGTCTAGTAATT